GTAGGCACCATGGCCTCTTTATATGTGTTATCATAGCAGTAGGCAGTGTTATGTGATATGATAAATCTAGTACTATCTTCTGTTGCAGACACTGTCCTGTGGTCTTGTCAAGGGATGAGGAAGGTTTGTTTTTCATTTTATCAATAAAAGGTGAATAGAATGTACTTATATAGTGATGCTTCAATTACTTAACATACATGCCATTTCTGTGAAATGTATTTTTTTTAGTTATGATTGAAACATTGAAAAAAAAGTTATGCTGTATACCTCGCCGACAATAATTCATGATCTAACAAAAAAGACAATCAACTTTCAACCACTGATAACATATGAGTTTTATTGATAATCATACTAGACCAATATTCACTATTGGAATGCGGAAAAATACTGGCAACTATCACAGATTCAAGCCATTTATAAATATAAGCAACAATAAACAACCGGAATATAAAATCGAACCTCACAAGTCCGGAATTCGATAAGCCGGTAATTTCATTCCCGGAGCTCATCTCAATAGGAAAACAGATTTTCCGGACCGATTTCATATAATTTCATTCAGGAAACTGTAGTTGGGCAAATTGTTTTCCGCATGCATATATTGAAAAAACGGTATCAAATCGAATGACAACTCCTGTTTCAATAATTAAAAAGTATTTTCTAATTATTTCAGGAAAATGAAATATCCGGACTAACGAGTTTCATAATGTTCAGGTTTCATGTAATACATGTACAATAACAAGTGCTGGGGGAAATACAGATCAATTTGTATATAGTTAGTTCATTCCAAAATATACTCTTCACAAATAACTAGCTTTCATCAGACCACAAGATATGTCAGATCTAACTACTTTGTTAAACTCAATGTCGTTTACGGCCGAGTACAACATATTGGTATTGCTGATTTTTGTCAACAACACCTGAGATTCATTCTCTAAGATAGCATAGCATCTCAAAATCTCGATAATGTCATCACAGGTTTTCTTCGAATTTCATAGGGTAGACCTATAAAAAATAATTCGTTCGAGACCATATTGTTCCTATATTACTTTAATTACATGGTGATCAAAGGCCTACTAGTAGTAAACAGCTCTACCATTCCAAAAGTTTGTTAAATAGCAAGCTTTTTATCCAAAATTCAAGAAAACATTTTTTTTTATCTAAGAAGAGGGTAGGAATTGAAATTGAATCCGTCTATAAAACCGTGCATTATACTAGGGGAATGTTATCAAAACAAGCTAACTCGGGGCGAGTATACTCTGCCAAATATTATTATCACATAAAGTGACGTCAGGATTCGTGGACAATGAAATAGTAGGTCATTTTAATACCTGTTACACAAAACATTTTTACAATCGAGCCTCGCCATTCCTGCAAGATTTTGTTCGGACCTGAAACTAACTGGAAAATGAAACAATTTGGGGAATGTGTCCTAAAATTCCGGCCTGGATACTGGAACAACCGGACTTCAGATGACTGGTAACGAAGGCTCGAATGTTTGACATCTTTTGTAACACTATGCTATAGGCTTGCTATGTTTGAACTATCTAACGACTTTTAAATTAATCAGACTTCACTTGATTAAGATGTTGTTCATTTGACAATAAGGTACTGTTCGTTTCACGACTGCAAATCCTCCTATTAGCCTATGGGCCAAAATCAACTGTAATACCTACGGACACTGGTCACTAACTACCAACACTGTCCGGTTACTCCTTTTTGCCTGTAAGAATAGCGTTGAGTGTGTTGAAGCCGTAACGTTGAGGACAGCGCGTTGTTGCCACATCCTTGCCGGTCAGAGCTCCGTCCACGAGATACACCTTTCCGATCTTCTCCTGAGCCCACGTGATCAGCTTGTCGTTGTTAGGGATGGGTACTCCGGCTGCAATAGCCACGCCTTTAAACACAATCATCCCCATCGGGATGTCCTCCGTCAGGTAACGATTCCCGAAGTCGGGAGCGACGCCGCCATCTACTGTCTTGACTGGATGAACGAGCCCCTTATAGGACTTGTTAGTGGTGATCGCGTGGTAAAGGTCGTGGTCGTCTTGGATATCTTCGTGGTAATACTCAAGATACCATTGATAGATATCTTTGACGTCAGATAGGTCATTGCCTGGACACGCCGCCATGATGGCGTTCCCCACGGCCTTGCACTCGTCACTACAGGCTGTCAACATATCCGCGGTGGCCTGGTCTATACCCTGATAAAACAGTGGTGCTTCAGACACCGGGTTACCGTCCCATGAACCCCATCGGCCATACAAAATGGCAGGATGGACAAACGAGTAGCTCATGATCAGCATCTCTAGAAAGTGTTTGGCAAGGCGGAAGACTGGTTCGGCACCGTGGAGCTTCTGTAGCGTTGACAATGGATCAACGGTCTCTGCCGTACCTTTTATGAGAGAAGCTGCAAGCACAGATTTTGTTCCTAGTACTTCAACTTTCCTACCAAACTCCTTAATACGACACGCCCAGGGAAGAGTTTCAAATGACATCATAGAAACCGCGGCTGCCTTGTCTCCTAAAATATCCCTACATTGGAATTCAAAACCCGCCTGGCTTGGAAGGCCTACGATAAGAGCTGAGTCCTGTACATACGGGGCCATGGCTTGGAAGTAGCCTTCATGTGCAAACGCTGGAACTGTCAGGATCACAACATCCGCCCCAGTGATGGCAACTTGAGGATCCTTGGTAATGACCTTTGGGCGTGACTTGACCTCTGTCTGTGTTCCGTTTTTTTCATTTACAATCACCGTTAGTTCATCAGCCCCTAGAGCTTTTGTCCAACGCTCGGCTTCATCAGCGAACAGCGTCAGGACACGAACTTCGACCCCGTCTCTGGACGCTGCGAGACCTGAGAGGGTGTGGGCGCCATTCCCTCCTCCGCAGACACAAACCTTGAGCGTCATATCTCACGGGATACTTTGTCTGTAACATAGAAAATGTAGGGGGTTTTATGTACATATAAATATAAATAACAGTGGAAAGTGACTACATTATGTGACAGAATCTTAAATTTCTTTGGGACACTTACTATAGCACATTATTTACGGTAGATGTACTGTGAACCAATTTATTTTCATGAGGGATTAATTTACACATAAATTCAAACGGAGATTTATATACAAATTTATATGTTTCGCCAACATTTGTACAGCTGTATGATGCAGTGTAATCCAGTTCTGATATACTGTACCTTTGGTTTTTGTACTTAGTAACAATCTTTTTTAAATTTTAGAATATTAAAAAATCATTTGTATGTGTGTCGCGTCAACATTGGTAAATAATTGCTATCTAGACTGTTATTGTATCATCTCAGTTGCGAATTCAAGTATTCGCCAACAGAAACCTCAGGTTTAAATTTACTCACGAAAATAAAGGGACTAACAGTATACAGAATATAACATTAAATATCTAAAGGACATCTCAAACATAAAATTGAGAGTTGAGATGTCTGATTTAGGTTCAGGTAAACGTAAAATGAATAATAAGTATGTCTTAAAGGTAGTTATCACAGAACAGATTAAACGATTGACGGATAAAGCGATATGTAACATAGTAACATCTTACAAAGGATGTAAGGACAACACGGTCTGACGTCATCATGTATACCATATCATCAAGTTTCGAAGTAAACATGAAAGCCGCATTA